GCTAATTTTAGGGTCCTAACCACGAAATGGGTATGAAAAAGTTCCAGTTGTTTTTGCTTGGCAAAAAATCGACCATGTCCGCCTATAATTGCCCGCCAACTTGGCGTATCGAAGGTGTTTTTATGACTTCGACTCCAGTCCTGTCGCATAGATTTCCTAGAATCTCTTGAAATAAATTTAAAAATCTAACCTTTTTCTTAACATTTGTTGGAAAAAATGTAGGAATGACAGATTTTGATGACAGATTATCTCAACGTTCGAAGGTCGCTTTGCGCCGCCTCGAACTGTAAAAAATTTACACCAACTTGTTAGCCTGATATCTCCAATGTTACCTCTGAAAATTGTTAAAACTAGACATTTGCCATGTTTTTTTAAATATATGTTAAGGGAAGGGAACATCGTTTCACGGATATCACGAGATTTTGAGAAATCTTTACGATAGGACTCAAGTTGAATTCAAAAGATCACCTTCGATCCGCCATATTAGCGGGCAAGTATGGGCAGACTAAGTGCACTTTTCCGTTTTTTTGGCAAGCAAAAATAAATGGAACTTTTTAATATCCATTTCGTGATTAGGACCCTAGAGTAAGACTTCATGCCAAATTTCAGCCAAATCGACGGAATGAAGCGGCCGACGAAAGTTCGAAAGTTACAAACTATCACACTTAAAAAAACTTACGCGATGCTTTTAAGTGACATACTTTGAATCATCACCTCAGAGCTGGATGCCACTTAAAGGGTACTTGGTCGGAATTCTTGGCTCCACCAACCCCTTATGCACATTCCCGACACTCAGTTACAGTTGATATTTATTTTACATACCTGTGTTTGACCAAAGCTCACGGTTATATTTCACAGGAACATTTCTTTTCTTCTCAAAATCGAATGCACTATCCTGTAAAGAAAAATTATTTGAAACGAGTTTATATTGCAAGCACACTCTTATCCCTGCTTTCCACCTGTTGGTTATCAAAAAGAGAAGCCTTGACTGTGCTCTGTTCTGTTGTAAAGTACGAGGAAGCGGCAAGAGCACGAAAGAAGTGTGGGGAAAAACACGAGACGTACTCGAGTGTTTCTCCCCACTTCTTAATTGTTAATAGATGACTCATGATAACTCTGGATTAGCTTATCATGATTCGACCTACAACATTAACCATGCATTTCTGTTTCAAACAAGTTCACCTCTCAATCAGTGATATTTTACAAATAATATTAGACTCGTTTTAATTTTCCATTTTTGAGAAGCCTGCAAAGACAGCTCAGAAAAAGGCTCCCCGATTTTTCACATTGCAGATGACATTAAATAGAACAAATACAGGAGAAATTCATTGTGTTGTTTGATGTGACAAAGGCATTTGAAAGCATTCAGTGTGAGCGCCTGCATGAGAAACTTTGAGAAATTTTGGGGTTCCATGATACTCTATACGAGGTTCTGCACTGTTCACAGTGTAAATAGCACAGGACTTCAATGGCTTTGCATCAAGGTCAGAGTGCTTTCAAACATTGCCATTATGATGCATAAATGCCTTCAGCATCAGGTCCCTGATATACGGGACATAGCTCAAAAGAATTTAAAAAAGGTTTGATAGCAGATTTTGATTAAACAAAAATAACTTCATTTGCAATCCCATATTAATTTACATGATACAAAAATAATAAATAAATAAAGATGAAAAATGGAGAGAGTTCAGGCTGCCCATAATGACCTTTGAGGGCTAAAAAAATAGGGCAGCCTCACCTAGGTTATTAATAATGTATTATATTAAGAAGGGGTTCCTGCCTTTTTGACTTTGTTTTTTGTGACTAAGTTCTTGTGTGAAGTCAGTTTCATAACAGGAAGTTTGCTAACTCTATAAAACCATGAATCATGTAATGTGACTGGTCATGTGACTCTAAATTTACAGAAAACCTTATAGGAAAGTACTAATTACTAGAGGTGTACTTTCTCTTACAAACATTTGCCTATCATCTCAAGGGGTTAGTCCTACTGCAGAAGGAGAGAATGTCATTGTTTGTTCATGGTAATTTTCAGGGCTATGTTTTCATGCCCTCTACTTGATTTGTTCAAACTTCAGATTGTCTCACAAAACATGGAGCCACTCTCTCTTTATGTACTTAATACTCAGGTTATAATGAACATGCTTGCAATATGAAAAATTTTTCTGATGCTGGAAACTGACTCTCAATAATTTGGCCTGGCATAACTTGTTGATTAATTCATTATTTTGTAGTCCCAGAAGCTGCTAATGACTCTGGAGGTACTGAACTTGATATATTTGATACACAAGGCACCCTTCAGGGGACAAGGTTAGGATAAAATTGCTTTTATGACTGAATGTTGCACCCAGTTTACATATGAAGATAATAGCATTAAAAATTCCTATTATAGCTGTATTCAGAAGCACAGACATCTAGGTTATATGCTTCTGCTTTATCAACTTTTAAAATGTTTCTTTTTATGTCCCATATATCCATTCCTTTGATTTCCTCCCTAGCCTGCTTGCAACTAATTAAATTTTGTTTTAATTTAAGTGAGAGAGGATAAAACATAAGTGTAGCAGAGATCTCTTTCCAGATTGAATTCAGGTAAGCAGATCAGTAAACTAGTTAATGTTATAAAAATTATGCTTCTCCTGAATCTTTAATTTTATTGCCCTGGTTTTTTTTTTT